GGGCAGGGGCAGCGGGGCCATGGTGTGGGTTTGGAGGTGTCTTGGAAGTGAGTGCGTGGCCTGGTTGGGAGAGCCCTGCCACTTAGTTCTTACCGATGGGGTGAAAAATACAGGTGCACATGGTGTCTGGGGTTGTACAAGTAACCCGGGGTTAAGCGTGGGGTCAGCCAGGGTTTGCATTCCTTCTGGGTGAAATGTGGAGTTTTATTTCATTTCATATGCTACCACCCCATCCAAATGTTACACTTGGCACATCTGCCCTGCAGCAGCTGCTGCGTGGGGTTTCAGAGAAACAAAAAAGAAATTTTTTAACGCCTACACATCACGTTGCAACATTTGGTATTGTGGGTAGGAAGTTTCAGAAATCCAAAAGCATTAAAAAACCCCAAAAATAGAATTGGTGCACAATTTACACTGTGTTGGAAAACCTAACCATTTGATTATTTCACTCTTCCCAGAAAGAACCTTACAGAAGACTCTTCTTTTCATTGTTTTTGGGTTTTGGGTTTTTGTAGTAGAACGTGTACCACTGTCACGATGCCTGAGGTAAACACAGATCACCTGGATGAGCAGCAGGTGCAGCTCTTGGCGGAGATGTGCATTCTGATCGATGAAAACGATAATAAGATCGGAGCGGATACCAAGAAAAACTGTCACTTGAATGAAAACATTGATAAAGGTACAGTTTGCTTAATTTCTGACTGAACCATTAAGTTGACTGAATATTTTCAGAAATACAGGCATGATTAAATTAAAGCTTTAATCTCAGATTGATGTTGATCAAACCAGAGCAAGTACTTCCCCACACCCCTCTCCTCCTCCAGCATACAATACCTAATTTTAAAAATACTGCAATATGAAGGAACGTGCAATCGAAGGCAGCAGCAAAGCAGAGAAATTTGTGATTGCAGATATAAGCTGTATGTCTTGATAAATATCTTTAATCACATTTTTATGATAAAATACTGTTCTTTTCCTATTATAAATATCTGATTCCATGTAGCTTTCTCTAAAGAACACCACTTGCTTCACTGCTGAGTTCTTTTCAAGTAGAAGAGACTTTAATTTTTAAGTAGTTCACAGAAAGTTCAACTTCAAATACTGCTAATAGGAAAGGGGTTTGTTGTTGTCATTCTAATTGGTTGTGAGTTTGATTTGAGGTTGGTCAGACTTGTGAATCTCTCACAGTAGTTCATGACCTCCTTTTCTGTACTCAGGGGAAGCATCGTCCCGAACAGTGAGGAATAACAAACTCAAAAGTTACAGAAAACACTAACTTTACTGTTTTTGAGGAAGTTTGTACTTTTGCAATTCCTGAAGCTTCTTGAAATTCCATGCAATTTTTAGGGCTTTTTGAGTTCTTTCTTTGTGATAGTAAATCAGCCCTCCTTAGAAACGTGCTCAAATGTGCATCTTCAGAACAGTGAATTGACCGAGTTTAGTAAAACTTCTGTTACCTTGTTGCTCTTAGTATTTTTCTAATTTCATAATGTTTTGCGTAAGCTGACAGAGAAACCTAAATAATAACTCAGAGTGCTTTTTGTCAAATCCTTGCTTTTTAATGTGTATGAATTTTAAATTTAGACTACCCAAAAATGAGGGCATTCTATGCCTTTGAACTCTGTCTTCAGATGTTTTTTCTTCTCCTCCTATATAGCTCTGTGGTTTTTTGTTTGTTTGTTTCTAGGTTTACTGCACCGAGCTTTCAGTGTTTTCTTATTTAATACTGAAAATAAACTGTTACTGCAGCAGAGATCAAATGCAAAAATTACATTTCCAGGTTAGTACTGAAATACGTTGTATTGATTAAAATGTTTTATTTAAACCATTATTTTTAAAATATGCCAGTCTAATTTTGCAGTGTAATTCATTGCAAGTTTTTAGAATTTACTTTTTTGGAAAGGAGACACTTTTAAGAGTTTGAGATATGCTTGTGGATGAAGTAAGATAATGGCAACACTGGCTTATTGTTACACGTACTTGTGGGAAACGATTGCTCCTTGACATGTTTGATCCTGTTTATGCAAGTGCAGCGTGCATTGTTTACTTTCTCTGTTGCAAGACCTATTTAGTGAAGTTGAAGCAATTGCCCTGGTAGCTGTGGAAAGTGCTCTCATGCCTCTGGTAAAGACCCAGAGTTTATGTGTAGTGAAGCCCTGCTGCTTGGGAGCAGTTGCGCAGGGTTACACACAAGCACAAACTGCTTATTTACTTCTGCTTACCATCCGCTGGTCTTGAAGCTCTGGGAATATTTTCAGTATTCTGTTACATATAAACTCCCAAAAGTAATTAGTAATGGCAGGATAAACAAGGTCTCCATAAACTGACTCTGTAAGTAGGTGCTATCTTGGGTATGAGAGTGGACATCTTCATGTGTATCAAACACTGACCTGCAAAGTTGTACTTAACAGAGGCAAATCCTGGTGCAAAATATGTAAAGAAAATATCTTCCTTCCTCTCTGACCCTTCTCTGTAAGAGAAACAAAGCTGGGGTGCTTTAAATAACTGTCCTAGGTCTCTGGGGTTTGTTTGTTTCCCCAGTATTTTATACACGTCAAAAATGTACTGATACAAACTTGTTGCAGATTGTTTTACCAACACTTGTTGCAGTCATCCTCTGAGCCATCCACTAGAACTGGAAGAAAATAACGCCATTGGTGTTCGGAGAGCAGCACAGAGACGACTGAAAGCAGAGTTAGGAATTCCCATGGAGCAGGTAAAGGAAGGAGAGAGAAACAGGAATTCTTGCCAGTGTTTGCCAGTTTACAGACTAGCTGCATCTGGCAGACAGGGTTGGCCTGAAACCTAAAAATGAATTTAATTTTGCAGCCATAGAGAACTTTGTGAATTTAAGACTTCATCTATATTCTGTAGTCTCAAAAGCTGATGTCACTAAATGGTATTGTAGAATATTCGTCTGCTCAAACTAAACACGAGCCAAAGAGTAAATCACACAGCAGTGAAGAGTTGCTTTACTATGGGTGCCTACATGTTTTCCTGCTGGACGGGCTGTCTCGCTGGCCCAGGGGTGGGCAATGTTCCGTCCTTCCTCCAGACCCATGGCGGAGTGCCTGTGTGTTCTGGAGGGCATTGCTGAGAGCTGCTGCCAGTGTCCATGTGCCAAGTCTCTGCAATCCCAAGTTTCCTGTGGAAGTAGGGTAGCCTGGGCACTCGGTGTTTCTTCCAGAACACTCATCACCCACTTCCAGTACCTCCCTTTCTGATGAAGAGCAGGGTGAAGCTGGCTGAGTTATGCTCGTGATCGAAATCTCTTTCCATGTTTTGTAACTAGCGATGTTTGTGTCATGGGACATGGGAGCAGCAATGTGCTGCTGGGAAACGCGATGGTTAGGTTGTTCCTGGAATTCATTACCCGCTGTGTGACTTACACAGATCCTGGTAGGTCAGGGTGATGAGTGGTCTGTCAGCAAGCAGCTCTGACCTTGGCTTTAAGTAGCTGTCAGGTCTTCTTCTTGGGAGGTGAGGGGTAGGTGCAGGTGTTGGTGTTCGTCAGCGCGTCAGTAAGAGTGTGTTAAAACTATAGTAAATGTTATTTAAAACTTACTGTATAGAAGAAACCCACTCAAAATATTATAGTGAGTCTGACGAGAGAAATGCTGTGCAATTCATGTTATCAAAATGCAATAAAAATTATTTTTCATAGTAATTATGAAGAATTACATTGCAGTTGTACACCTGGGGAAAAATAGTTTTTAAGGAAGAGGGTAATAGCTGATAATTCTACTGTAATGCTTGGCAGTGCAAGCGTTCTGGTTTGGCAGCGGTTCTGACTGGTGTTTTGGTTGTAGGTAACTCCGGAAGAAATCTCCTATCTGACACGAATTCACTACAAGGCCAAGTCTGATGGGATCTGGGGTGAACACGAGATAGACTATATCCTCTTTGTACAGAAGGACGTCATGTTGAATCCCGACCCTAACGAGATCCAGAGCTACTGCTACGTGACACAGAAAGAACTGAAACAGCTCTTGGACAAAGCTTCCAAGAATGAAGTTAAGATTACTCCATGGTTTAAACTGATAGCAGAGACCTTTCTTTTTAAGTGGTGGGATAACTTACCTAACTTGAACAAATTCGTTGATCATGAAAAAATACACAGAATGTAAATAGCTGGAGTAAAAGCTGCCGAAGGCCAGCAGTGATGCGCTCTCATAAACACTGTGGTAACTTGTGACTCTTGAGTGCAGAAAATTGATCGACCTGGAGCATGTTTAGTAACTTTATACAGATGGTCATAACCAATGTTTTTTCTTCTCTCTTCACCTCCTCTTCCCCCCAGCTCTGTTCTTTTTGGGTGAGTTAAGCTTGATCTCATGTAAAATGGGTAATGGTAACATAAGAAACCCTTGGGGTCATTTTTGCCCATTCTCTGCTGTGATACAAAAGGTCCTCAGCCTGCGTGGGCCCAGTTCCTTGCGTAAGGACACGTGCTGGGCAGGCAGTGTGGGTGCCTCCTGTCCAGCTCATCTGGGCTGGTAATTCCCAACTGCATGTGACCACACATCTGAAATAGTGATTATAAATGAATCTGAGTTCTGCACTGATGTCAAGAAGACCACATGCCTGAAGAAAAAAACAACCAATTCAAAATAATCAGAATTATTTTAATTGTAGAAAGCAAATCTATTCAGTTACTGTACTGTATAATTAACCAAAACCATAAAAGCTTAAGTAATGGGATTGCCTATGTGGACTGAGTTTCACTTTGGAGTGCTGCAGTGTATTTGTCATAGCTTTAGATAATAAACATTGGGACGTTGTTTGGCTTTTTTTTCCCCACCACCCTCTTCTGGATTGTTGATGACCAAGTACTGGACATCTCTAAATAAAAAATAATGGTTAATTATACCAAATGTAAATGGTACCTATCTAATATAGGAAGTAGTCTGGCTTTGGAGACAGGTGCATTAATGGTTCCTCTCCGTCTTCTGCAAAAAACAAAGGCACCTTGGTACAATCTTGTTTTTCCCTGCAGTATCTACTGTAATAGTCATTCCTGGAAAACTCAAACCCCAACTCCAAAATTGAAGGCTGACAATTTATGGGCTTACACCAACTTTTAATTTCAGTTAATCAGAAATTCTGCCAGAGTGCAGGTGCCAGTCCTTTTTGATCTTGCAGTCAGTTGCTAGTAACAAGAGTCAAATGGAAGACTTTTCAGTATGGCAAATAATAATCAAGGGTATCTCAATTTGAGTTAAAAGTACTTCCCCCTACCCCCTCCAAACAACGCTTCATTGTGATTTCTTCCGTTAGCAGCCTACTCCATCTGGATTTCTTAAGTTAATGTCTCCCAGAGGTGTCTTGATGAAACAGGATGTTTTTCACACCACTTCTCCTTGCGTGTAAACCATTGCTGTAACTAGGCTGTGTCTGGTTGCAAGGGAAAACCAGATTTTCCCAAGGGTTAACAAGTTAGCAGCACTGAAGCTCCTATGTGCCAGCATCTCTAGTGGTTCAACTCCTAAAGGTTTTAGAGTCACATTCGTTGTATGTTGACCTGAATTGAAGCATTATCATGAAGCAAATAACAGTGGGTGAGAGAACAGTGGTGCAATGTAACAGCTCTCCTGAATTCAGTGCAATTAGCCACGTTACCCGAGTAATGCATTAGAGTACTTTTCAAATACTTAAAATACTTTTTAAATGAAAGATTATCTTGAAGACAAGATCATTATTAAAATAGCTAACCTAAAACCTTGGACTGCTGTTTTCTTTCCAGATGTTGAGCCACACAGAGAACAATCTCTGACATTACTACACTATAAACAGCAACGTGCCAGTTAAACATCACTAGATCAGTACGAGGGGGGGTCACAGCGCATAGATTTATTTTAAAAAGTTCTACTTTCCCAGTTCAAATCTCCAGCTTGGAGCAAAAGCTGACAAAGCACATCCTGAAGTAGAAAGCACATGCATAAGGAAGCCGAAAGCAAAGTTTTGCTAAAAAGTTCTTAAAAATCCCTTTTAAGTTTTAACATTGAGGTTTTTCTTGACATTGAACTTCTTTGCAGCATTACAAGATGCTTTTAATACTGAATTTATTACATGAAGTCGATGAGGGAAGCAATACGGATTTACACATAATGCTTCAATGTGCTGAAGTTGCCATCTAAACACTCTTCTGTTGTATTTAAAATAGTTTTAAAAATAATAATTTAAGAATTCTCTTTGGGTTTTTGTTTTTCGCATGGATACTTCACTGGATTACAGTTTAATCTTTAAAACTCTGCAATTTCAGTGTATTGTTCAGGCAATGCATTTATAATAATTTTACCAACCTCTAGGTAATTCCTACCTTGTTCTTGACCAACTAGGGACAAAAAGGGCCTGTTTCACATTTGACAATGTATTTTGCCTGTAAACTGGCAGGATTTCACCTGCCCCTTCAAAACTAGCTTGGTGCACGAACACTTAACTTTGCACGGTACCTGTGGGTCTCCAGTTACTTCCCCACCAATTTCAGCCTTAACCTGCAACATAAACTCACCACTTCCTGTACATCAAGGAATTAACTTGTACACAGAAAACCGAACCTTACTGATGCAGTACCTTACAAAGCTGTGCTTTTTTAATTCCAATGGCAACTTCATTAACAAATACTTCACTTTTCTAAATGTAACCTCATTTTAAATCTGGTTTTACATAGAACTTTAAATGCTTTACTGCTATGTGAATGTCAGTAGTAAGAAAACAGAAAGAAGTGGTATTTTTAATGTCTATTTAGAAATGGTTTCTGCCACTGGTATCAACACCTTGCTCATTTGTGTTACTTTCCCTCTCTGGGCTTCAAGTATCTGAACCATTAACACAAACCATGTACTTTTAAAACACTCTATGACTAAAAAGGAAGACAGGACTAGAAATTAGTTTTAATAAAATCAGTTTTAATTAGTTTTAATTCAGAAGACTGGTTATCTTCTCTGTGTTTTACCAGATTTTCTCTTTCCAGCCAGCAGATGTCTTGGCTTCAAGTTAAATATGTGTCTGTCTGCCTCTCCCTTCCTGCCCAGCCGATTCATTTTCTTTTGAGCTTTCTTTGCCATGGTCTTGACCTTCTTCACCATCTATTTAAAAACAAACAAGCATGTAGAGTAACTCCCTCAGTAACTCAGGTAACAAGCTTTACCTTTTAAAAACCACAAAGCTCAATGATTACAACAAGGACATTATTAAACACCCACCATACGCCACCACCTGCAACCCTGGAACAGTATCACTGCAAGTGACACCGATCCTCCTCAGCAAAACTCTTCTTTCTTTCAGTGCACTGACAATATGGTCGTGCTATCCCTGGAACCGCTGGCTTACTACAGGTGGAACTCCGTCATTTGTAGAACTCTGCCTCCATACTAGCATTTAAGAGGCAAAATTTTAAAATGTACTGTCTTAGTCTGTATTATTATGTCTTGTTTGTAAGAATGAAGTAGGTGGTTTTGAAGTATAGAGTTCAAATGAACTGCAGATGAAGCCGCAAAGAGCAGACAGACGACCTCTGGACAAACACAACCAGCCTAGTACGAAGTTTCCCAGAAGCTGGTTTAAGTACAATCACACTGGTTTAACTGCTATAAAGGTAAATAACTTCAACAAACCTTTTCATCACGAAGACCAGAAACATCCCGGGGTGTGCGAGAGGAGCTGCGACTGCGTGCCACAGATGTAGGGGTTTCAGACTCATCACGTTTACGTTTCCTTGTAGCACTACGGGACCTTCTCACATAATGTGCCTGAAATTCAAAACATCACTTTAATTATTAAAAGCATAAAGAATCAGCTCAGGCATGCTCCATTTCTAATTAGACCATCAGGAAAATCCAGAAAGTGGACTGCTCTGATACATTACTTTGGTTATTCCACAGTAACATAAACACCTTGTCAACTGTTGGTCACTGCCTTCCTGTCCTACAGTAATATTCCAAATTTTGTGCATATTAGCAGAATCTTTTCACAATTATTAACTTCAGTTTTCTGATTTTTATCTGAGTAGATTCATAAGTAATGGATAAAAAGAAACAGCCAAATTAATGAATAGCAATACTGAAGCCATTTTGCAACAGCAAAATAGCAATGAAGACACCTACCCTAATTAGTGCCCTGTTTACAGGACAAAGGCCCAAAACATTTCAGACATGAAGACTTATCATCCCACAGCCTAAGGATTAAATACCTCCTCACCGAGACTGCTCCTAAATCAACACGGCACACGTCAGCCCTGAGAAGCAGGCATGCTTGCTTCAGACGTGTAGTGTCGACAGTGCTTGTCTCCTAACTCCTTGCTGAGGTCTCGAGATCTAGCGAGCCATTAGACTACTTGATCTGCTGCACAAAATGGATTTTTTTCAATTTCTGATAAAATTAAATGTCTCCCAAAGGGAAATCTGTTTGAAGTACTTTAGCTGCCTTATATCTAAAGATGCCAGTTGCCCTCAAAAATTTCAATTACAACTCACAGCATTAACGAACTGTAAAAAGATAAGCCTGATCTGTCATTATTGCTATTCCTGGCATAGTGGTGTCTCATCTAACAAAGCAGACTTGAAAATTAAGACGTGTGTTTAGCCAAACCCTGTTCTTGAATCCTATGCAGATTTCCAAAGAGTTCTAATAGAACACAGTGCACACATACATATAGAGGTGTATAAGAAACCCAGCATGTTTTGATCACGCCACTCAAAACTTCCAGTATCAACTGCCTCATTTGGGTTTCCCATTTCCTCCTAAACAGATCCCACCTCTCTCTCATGCCAACTGTAATATGCATTTCAAATGTGCTCAAAGAAATTGAGCATGCAATGAAATTGATCTCCTTTAGAGAAACATTGTGTCTAAGTAGCAAAAACTTACATCATCTTTGTTAGTCATGTCAAGTCCAAGATCAGTCATTTCTTTCTCTAGCACCTTCCGCTGGACCTGTAAAAAGACAGTTCATAAAACAAGTTCTTTCAAAAAAGTATGGTTCTATCTTCTTTTTTGTCTAAATGTACCTCCATGAGTCTATTATATTAATTATATACTTATTCCTTTGGCAAGCAGATGACAAAAGTAATAACTGTGCATTTCATTTATTGCAACTTAATTCTTATTACCTAAAAATCCTTCTTACAGAATTGCAATGTCCCAGCATTCCCTAAAGGTCTTTCAAATAGTTCGCCTTTATGGGGGAAGGTGACAAAGAGAGGTATTTCAGTCACAAATGCTTCCTTCTCTCCCAAAAGGCACACACTTTGGGAAAGACAGAATACTGGGTGCAAAATCAGCTAGATCCATCTTCTCA